AAAAACTCGAAAACACTGTTTATTCTGATAGAAAGTAACGATGAAAGCAGCAGCAGCAGCAGCAGCAGCAGCAGCAGCAGCAGCAGCAGCAGCAGCAGCAGCAGCAGCAGCAGCAGCAGCAGCAGCAGCAGCAGCAGCAGCAGCAGCAGCAGCAGCAGCAGCAGCAGCAGCAGCAGCAGCAGCAGCAGCAGCAGCAGCAGCAGCAGCAGCAGCAGCAGCAGCAGCAGCAGCAGCAGCAGCAGCAGCAGCAGCAGCAGCAGCAGCAGTCGATTGCGCAACAACATCAGCAGCAGCAACAACAATCGATTGCGCAACAACATCAGCAGCAGCAACAGCAGTCGATTGCGCAACAACATCAACAGCAGCAGCAGACCCAGCAACATCAAACACAAAGTCAACAGCAACAGCAACAACAAGCACAACCGCAGCAGCAGCAGCAGCAATTTATATTAGCGACTGGCACCACGATAGTCGACAAGACTCAGCAACAGTCAGTATCAGCGACCTCGGCCGCAGCTGCTGCTGCACTGATGGCGAGGCATTCGGTGTCCACGCAGACGGCCGCGAATCAGCCGAATGCCGCACAAAATGCACTCATGAGACAAGGATCACCACCTGATACAACAACTCACAGTCCCGGTAATAGCCAAAGGTCCAATAGTCCGGCCGTTGATACGACGACGCATGGATCGGCCTCTCCCCCACCACCGGCGAACACGAGGCAACAGTCTTCGACGGTAAGTATTGCACAATATCTGTCGATAACAGATTTCGTACTATTATATTAATATATTTAAACATTGAATAAGTAGACAGACGTTTAAATATAATTAAGATAACGAATGTAAAAATTTAAGAGAAATTAATCCGTATGTGTAAACAATTTCAGAATACCGGGGACAATTGACAATAATCGTTAATTTTATCGTGTAAAATTTGACTACCCGATATAAATAAGAATTTGTTTTATTATTATTATTATTATTATTTTCTTTTTTTTCTTTTCTTTTAATTATTGATTGTTGTGCATCGATAGATTTCACATATGAGCGAATGACAGACAATGTAAGAGAATATTTTACATTTTGATCGATGCTATTACGTCGTCTTGTATTTTGGTATTGCACAAATAAAAGTGATATGGTCGATTATCTTCTCCAGGTTTGATTAAATTCGTTTACGTTGAATAATCGAAATTTGAGTAGCTTAAAAGCTCGTTTCTCGTGGAGCGAAATTCATAAAGCACGTATTCCCGGATGATTCGTAAATATTGAAAAAACCAATTGAATCGTCAATTAATTGTTATTATTGTCCCATAGCCGATGGTCCACTGTGTATCGAGCAGTGAGCCAGACTCGGGTGGTGACGCTCAGCTAACTTCGGAGGAGTGGCGAGGAAATATCCAAACAATCGCCAATCCCGGCAACATCAAGGATGGCCAATTAAATCAAGCTGCGGCTGGCCAACAAATCCAGCAGCAGCAACATCTGCAGCAACAGCAACAACAACAGCACCAGCAGCAACAACAGCAGCAGCAGCAACAACAACAACAACAGCTGCAACAACAACAACAACAACAACAACAACAACAACAACAACAACAACAACAAGCGTCGGTTCCTCAACAGCAACAGCAGCAGCAGCAGCAGCACAATCAGCAAGTGAAGCCGACGTACGTCGAGTCGTCGATCGTCTCGAGCGGCATCCAGGTTGGTAGCTTCGTTGAACAGGCCGCCACTGGTGCCACCCGTCGACTAACCCTTACAGACACCCATCACCAACATCAACAATTTCATCACGAGTTGGCCGATACGACACTCCTCGAAAACACATACGAGATCATGGACACCACCACCACCACCACCACCACCACTTCATCACCCAATCATTCAATTCATTCAGACACGATAGTTATTGCGGAGCCCATTAGCGAGGAGCTGACGAGCGTCGACGATCACCTTATTAACAAAGATTTAGTTAGGGAACTGCAAGCGCAGCCATCAGAACCATCATGTCATATCCATCAGCAACAAGAACCCATGCTTGTCGATAGTATTAGCGAGGATAATTGCGTGTCTAACATTTACGAACCGCGTCAGGAACAAGCTACTGACACTGTTCTCGTTCAGCAACAGACGCAAAAGTTTTACAGTGTTGGCATTGCCGCAGGCTTATACCCGCACCTGTACAACTTTCGCTCGGAGCAGAACGAGCATCAGCCTCAGCAGCTTGCCGTCGTCGATTATCAAGCTTCGGAAAAGCTGCAGCTGCAGCAACAAGCTTATTTCAGCCCGTACGTTTGTAATGATGGCGGATTAACGAATTACGTCGAAGGCGCGGTCGAGCTCGAGGAGGAGAGCGTCGTCGAGTGAGGACGAGGAGTTATGAAATCTGGTGCGAAAATTTTGTTGAAAACGTTTAGCGATTACTGAGGCTGTCTACTGCAACGAATGAATGTTTTCATCTTTTCTTTTCCTTATTTTCTTTTTATTTATTTTTT